TAGCTTTTGGGGGGGGGAACGTGCAGATCTGTCGTCGCAGAGGAGGGAGAGCTTGTACCTGAATAAAACTTGGTCTTAAAGGTGCCACCGGACTGTTTTGGACCAGGGGGACCGGGGGGGGGGCCTCTGCAACTTACCTGGCTGCTTCTTGCTCTGACTGAGGGCTGCTGGGAGCAGGGGGCGGGGCTTGTTGCATGTGCCCGCCCCCTGGGCTCTTTACTGCCGGAGCTCCGCTCCTGTGCACTCCTGCAGGAAAATGACCCCTGCCCATCGCCAACTGCCAGTTCTTTTAACTAGAGATGCCAGGGATTGGAACTGGGACCTTCTGCATGCCAAGCAGACGCTCTACTACTAAGCCACAGGCAATAATTAGTGGAGGTTCTGGGACAGCAGGTGGTGAAAAGAAATCCGTATTCGGCTCCGAGATGCAAACCTTCCCCCCTCAGACAGAGAAACCTCCTCTGGCTTCAGACAGGCAGCCGTCTCCCTCCGCACTGGGACAGGCCAGTTGTCATGCAACGGAGAGATTTCAGAAGGGTTACCTGGAGCTCCTTCTGAAGGGATGTGCCTTCGGCCAGCGAGGGGGCCACCATCTCCTGGGTGACGGGGAAGTTGGATGGGAGGTCAGTGCATTTCTGGATCACCAAGGGGTTGACCCCATTCAGATACTGGTAGCCGAAGAAGGCGTCATCCATCCAGTGATCGGCAACGTATTCTGGGGTTAGAAAAGTCGCATCTTTGAAAAGGCTACCCTGAACTCGTCAGATCTTGGACGTCAAAGAACAAAAAGCGAAGGTCACAGCTACGAGAAACTATTGCAAAAAACACAAAGGAGCTGCCACACAGAGCACTGCGAAGTGTAAATATATTAACACATACAAATGTCACAGTATAGCAAAGCAGATAAATATTGTTCAAAGAGTCCTTTTCCAAGAATCATAAGAAGACGTTGACGAAATTCCCCGGAGTATGCTTCCGTTTCGTACTGTACTTCTTCTGAACGTAGTCAGGTAAACAAAATTTGTGTTCTCCGATTATTCATTCAATATAGAATGCTATCATTCAGAGAAATATACTCAAGAGGGTCCTCATCCATTGTTCAAGAGGGTCCTCATCCATTGTTGGTCCTCTATTAGAATGCTCGTCTTTTAGGGTTATATATAACAATGGATATAACAATATATTGTTATGGACGTTATGGATGTTAGAATGCTCGTCTTTTAGAGTTATATGTAACAATGGGTGGAGTCTGTGGCATTGGACCATGCTGAGGCCCCTCCCCTCCCCAAACCCCGCCCCCTCCTGGATCCACCCCCAAAGTCTCCAGGTATTTTCCAGCCCAGAGCTGGCAACCCAGTGTTGGGAAGGACGGGGAGCGTGGCCTCTGTCCATCTTCTGCCGCGAAAGCCCTACAGGCGGCCATAAGTCTGGAGCCAAGCTTTCAAAACCAATTCCCCCCCGATGCCTGGCTGAAGAGCTACACACCTGAAACGTGCGTTTTGTTGAACCAGAAAACCCGGCGGATGTCCTCCATCTTCTTCCAAGACTGCTGGCAGCCCAAGAGGCCCTTCAGCTTCATCTCCACCTTGCTGGAGTAGAAATAGGGAAGCGGCTGAGAGATCTGCGAAGCGGGGACTTCGGTTCACAACTGAAGGGCGTTTGCAAAGGAGACGTTCCGGAAACTGCTGAAGTGGAGGGCGAAAGCTGCTTGCTGGGAAGGTGGCTGGTCGAATGTTTATATTTGTCTGACTTTCGTGTTTTAACATGAGAAGGGGTGTTGGGTATTTGCATGTTGAAAACACTCAATGTGTATGCATGGGGTTAAATGTCTGTTCTGTTGTTACAGGAAATCACCTGTCTTTGTGTTAGCCAGTGTTAGCTCAAGTCTGTTAGCCCGCGAAAAGCATCCCTGTTCTAAAAGTTTGATTGGAAGTGAAGTGTTGGTAACTTTGCATTTTATGAGCCCTCTTCCCGTCTTTGTTTGCCTTGGAGGAGAAGCACGTTGGAGGGCCATCTTTTTCCAGTTCTTCTAGTCTAGAGAGGATGTAGCTGAATTAGCTCTCTGTTATTTTCTCCCAAGTTACCCTTCCCTATGGTAGAATTGTAGTAAACTTTTATATTTTTAAACACACATGGACTCTGGGTCTGATTATTGAACTCTGGCATTGCTAAGCTGTTTTTTAACTCTGCTGAATTTCTTTAAAAACTCTAACATCCAGCCACACCCACCTTTCCCTTCTAATTCTGTTTACCTTGTTTGTGGTCAAAACCCAGGGCTTTTTTTGTAGCTGGGACTCCTTTGCATGTTAGGCCACACACCCCTAATGTAGCCAATCCCAATGAGTTTCTGCTGTTGGGTGTGGCCTATTATGCTAATTAGTTCCTGCTGGGCGTGGCCAGCTCGGGAGCCAGCCGGAACTCCGTTCCTGTGCGTTCCTGCCCCAAAATAGCCCTGCGCATTGTCAATCTGGTGTGTGACGGCAAAGGCAGTTTTGCCTTCTGCATCCATCCTTCCAGCCTCCTTAGACTGTGAATGGGGATGAGAGCAGATGGAAGCACGCACCCCCTCCCCAGATCAGCATCCCAGTTTGTTGACAGGGGGAAAGAAGAAGCAATAGAAAGCTGCGATGGCCCTTGACAGGGGTCGTTCCGCAGGAGCTCATTAGCAGCACTCATTAGCATAATTTATTTGCATATGCCACACACCCTGACATCACCGGAAGTGTGTCAGAAGGCAACACCTACCGCTCAGGCGCCACTGGACTGTTTTGGATTGCTAGCTATTGGGGGGGGGGATGGGCAGATCTGCCCTCACAGAGGAGGGAGAGCTTGTACCTGAATAAAACTTGGTCTTAAAGGTGCCACTGGACTGTTTTGGACTGGGGGGGCGGTAGGGGGGATTCTGCCACTTACCTGGCTGCTTCTTGCTCTGACTGAGGGCTGCTGGGAGCAGGGGGTGGGGCTTGTTGCATGTGCCGGTCCCCTGGGCTCTTTACTGCCGGAGCTCCACTCCTGTGCGCTCCTGCAGGAAATGACCCCTGGCCCTCAAGGAGGTCCTGGCTGTGGAGTCCTGGATAGGGTTGGGTAATTCCTGGAAATTTGGGGGTGGAGTCTAGGGAGGGCAGGATTCCGGGAGAACAGGGTGTATACAGAGCCAGATTGGTGTAGTGGTTAAGTGCGCGGACTCTAATCTGGGAGAACTTGAGTTTGATTCCCCACTCCTCCACTCGCAGCTGCTGGATGACCTTGGGCAAGCCATAGTTCTGTCAGGGCTGTTCTTGAAAGAGCAGTTTCTGTCAGAGCTCTCTCAGCCCCACCCACCTCACAGGGCGTCCGTTGTGGGGAGGGGAAGGGAAAGGAGTTTGTAAGCCGCTCTGAGACTCCGAGTGAAGGGCTGGGGTATAAATCCAATCCCTTCTTCTTCTATATTGCCATAGAATCCACCCGCTGAATTATTTATTTATTAAATGGGAGGCGCTAGGCCAACCTTCCTTGTAGGCAGGGTCCAGGGCAGCTCACAACAGAGCCAAATACAATAAAGAAATTGATTTAAAATCAACATTAAAAATTACCTAAAAACATATGTGAATCAGAGCAGCAGACTCCTGAAGATGTTATCTATTAGACTTGACTCAGTTCTATGGGATTCATAGCTCACATAGCATCTATGTATAGGTACTAACTTAGTTTGTTATGACTGCTGATGTATGTTGTAAAAATCTGTATTGATGACTAACTGGTTGGTTTGTAATGGTGGATTCTCAGGACATTTGTATACTGTTTTGCAGTTATTATATGTCTTGGTATGTTATACTTCCTCTTAACAAACATTTTAAAAAATGAAAAAAGAAAAAAGAAAGAAAACAATATACATTCTAACAGGGCTTTTTTGGTAGAAAAAGCCCAGCAGGAACTCATTAGCATAATAAGCCACACCCAACAGCAGAAACTCATTAGCATATTAGGCCACACCCCCATGTTACCAGAAGTGTGGTCCTCCAGCCACACCCACCTTTGGCTTCTTATTCTGTTTACATTGTTTATTGTCAAAACCCAGGGCTTTTTTTGTAGCAGGAACTCCTTTGCATGTTAGGCCACACACCCCTAATGTAGCCAATCCTAATGAGTTTCTGCTGTTGGGCGTGGCCTATTATGCTAATCAGTTCCTGCTGGGCGTGGCCAACTCGGGAACCAGCCGGAACTCCGTTCCTGTGCGTTCCTGCCCAAAAATAGCCCTGCATTCTAAGATGGCAGGGAAAAGAAACACAGCTCCCCGAGCCTCCTAGGGGGAAGGGGTTACAAGGGATGGGGGGAGTATGTGGGAGTGCCAGGCGTCCTATCCTCAATCGATCCCCGACAGGCGTCCAATCGTCCTCAACATGTCAAGCAGCCATGTCCTCCAGGGGAACTGATCTCTGTAGCCCAGCGATCAGCTGTAATTCTGGGAGATCTCCGGGCCTCGTCTGGAGGAGGCAAAAGCCCTTAGGTGCGCCCCCTCCCTGCCCCCCCGCCTCAAAGACATCTCTTCAGGACTCACGTGAGCTTTGAACGCAGCAGGAAGGTGCTGAGCTTGGTGAAGGAAAACTTCATGTTAGTGTCCATCTCTTCGAGGCTCTCCACGGCCAGGCACTGCGGCATTCCCGGAGCAAATTCGGCCCAACTGATTGAAAAAGTAGAGTTTGACTTTCACACACACACACAAAAAGCCCCCAAACAAATGTACTTTAAATCTGAATTCTCGCTGCAAGAGATTTCTGTGTGTGTGTGTGTGTGTAAACCTGTGCCTGGGGAAGTATCCTTCTGGGCTACAAACGCACACGGGACCAAACGCGGCATTTTAGAAAACTAATCACCTATCCCCATGCCCGGAAAGTGGACCTCCGTTGGCAGGTTTTCAAAAGGGTTACAAAATCCCAAACCTTTCACCTGCTGAGTTCCTGAAAGCTCCCAAAGCTTCCCACTTCGGCCTTTCCAAAGATTGCAGACGTATGGCCGCCCCTACCCTCGGAGACAACTCGGCCTCAGGGCCTGGCCACCTTTTGCCTTGACCACAGAAACGTCCTCTTCTATGGTTGCACATCTGCTGCAAACTAATTTACTTCCCCCACGGATCTGATGGCCCTGCTGGGTCCTTTGCAGGCATCCCGTTCCTCCTGAGACCCATTCCCCATCTGAATCCCTCATCTCTAGGGGTCATTTCCTGCAGGAGCGCACAGGAGCAACAAGCCCCGCCCCCTGCTCCCAGCAGCCCTCAGTTGGGCCATGAGGAGCAAGAAGCAGCCAGGTAAGTTGCAGAGCCCCCCCTGGCCCGCCTTCCCAGGCCCTTCCTTTCTTCCTGCCTGCCTGCCTGCACAGATCTGCGTTCCCCCCACCCATAGCTAGCAATCCAAAACAGTCCAGTGGCACCTTTAAGACCAAGTTTTATTCAGGTACAAGCTCTCCCTCCTCTGTGAGGGCAGAGATTCCCCCCCCCCAATAGCTAGCAATCCAAAACAGTCCAGTGGAGCCTGAGCAGTGGGTGTTGCCTTCTGATACACTTCCGGTGATGTCAGGGGGTGTGGCATATGCAAATAAGTTATGCTAATGAGTTATGCTAATGAGCTCCTGCACCTCTTTTTCTATGAAATGACCCCTGCTCATCTCTCTGCTTTCCTGTCTGGCCAATCCCTGTTCGTGATTTTGGCCCCACCGCCTTCAGCCATCCAAATGTCTCCAGGCCCTCAAACCCTTTGTTTACTACTCAAAATATTGCTTCCTCGCCTTCCTTCTTTCTCTCATAGCAGTGTTGGTTTGCAGTAGAAAAGCTAGATTTGAGTCCAGGGGCACCTGGGAGACCAGAGAGAGTTTTGGGTTTTGGGGGGTATCTGTTAAATAGTGGGCTCCATGGATGAACAGACCCCTAGTTCAGTGATCAGCTCTACTTTATTAAGTGATTTCAGCAAGGAGAAGGAAGACAAAATCCCAGGCAGAAGCCTGGTTTTTAAGCATGCAAATAAACCACACCCCCAAACACTCCCCACTCCCAACGATAGGCTATTTACATCACATTGTTTCTCTATTGGTCCATTCTAGGATCCTAGCCGACTATTGTTTTGTGGACGCAAGCTCAACCCGACCCCAGGGCTAGTTTAGGGTTGACTCATCCTTGGTACACAACCGTATCTGATGAAGGGAGCTTTGATCCTCAAAAGCTCCTACCCTGGAAATCTCATTGGTCTCTAAGGTGCGACTGGACTGCAAAAGACAATGTTGTTCAGAAACGCTGAAGGTAGCAGAAAAAGAGGAAGACCCGGGGTGAGAGGAACTGGTCCAGTAAAGGAAGCCATGGCCCCCAGTTTGCAAGACCTGAGCGAGGCTTTCAATGATAAGGGATTTATAAGAGCGTAAGAGAAGCCATGTTGGGTCAGGCCAATGACCCATCCAGTCCAATGCTCTGTGGCCAGAACCCAGGTGCCATCAGGAGGTCCACCAGCGGGGCCAGAACTCCAGAAGCCGTCCCACTGTGGCCCCCAAGCACCAAGAAGACAGAGCATCCCTGCCCCAGACAGAACAACATAAGAAAAGCCACAGTGGCCAAAACCCAGGTGTCATCAGGAGGTCCACCAGTGAGGCCAGAACTCCAGAAGCCCTCCCACTGTGGCCCCCCAAGCACCAAGAAGACAGAGCATCACTGCCCCTGACATAAGAACATAAGAGAAGCCAATGTTGGATCAGGCCAATGGCCCATCCAGTCCAACGCTCTGTGTCACACAGTGGCCAAAACCCAGGTGCCATCAGGAGGTCCACCAGCAGGGCCAGAACTCCAGAAGAGCCCCCCAGTATTGCCCCCCAAGCACTAAGAAGACAGAGCATCACTGCCCCAGACATAAGAACATAAGAGAAGCCAATGTTGGATCAGGCCAGTGGCCCATCCAGTCCAACGCTCTGTGTCACACAGTGCCCAAAACCCAGGTGCCATCAGGAGGTCCACCAGCAGGGCCAGAACTCCAGAAGCCCTCCCACTGTGCCCCCCCCCAAGCACCAAGAAGACAGAGCATCCCTGCCTGATGGGCCTCTGCTCCAGATGTTTATCCAATCCCCTCTATAAGCCGTCCGTGCTTGTAGCTGCCACCACTTCCTGTGGCAGTGAGGTCATGCATTCATTGATGGGGTTGCAGAAGCCGGAAGCCACTTGACAGTTCACACATACACAGCTTACAGACCAAAATTTAAGACACAAGAGAATCAGAGCAATCCTACAAGGCCCGCCAGTCTGGGTTTCCAACCCCTTGATGGAAATGGGGGGGGGGATATAAAATGGGATTTTTGCAGCATGGCCAAGTCTGGGTTGGGAGATTCCTGGAGATTTGGGGGTGGGTGGAGCCTGAGGGGGTTGTTGGGGAGGGGCGGGACTTCGGCAGGGTATCATGCCACAGAGGTCCACCCTCCAAAGCAGCCATTTTCTCCCAGGGGAAGTGATCTCTGTCGCCTAGAAATGAGTTGAGATCTCCAGGCCCCACCTGGAGGCTGGCAACCCAGGATTCTTTGTGAGCCAACTGCAGTTGGAAGCCCTTTCTGATGACGCTTGTTCTCAGATTCAGCCAAGGCTTTGCAAATACGTCTTAGCAGGGGTCATATCGTAGAAAAAGAAGGTGCAGGAGCTCATTAGCATAACTCATTCGCTATTGGGGGGGGGGAACGTGCAGATCTGTCCTCGCAGAGGAGGGAGAGCTTGTACCTGAATAAAACTCGGTCTTAAAGGTGCCACTGAACTGTTTCGGATTGCTAGCTATGGGGGAGGGGGAACGCACAGATCTGCCCTCACAGAGGAGGGAGAGCTTGTACCTGAAGGCGGGCGGGGGGAGGGCGCTCTGCAACTTACCTGGCTGCTTCTTGCTCCTCGTGGCCCGACTGAGGGCTGCTGGGAGCAGGGGGTGGGACTTGTTGAATGTGCCCGCCCCCTGGGCTCCTTACTGCCGAGAGCTCCTGTGCGCTCCCGCAGGAAATGACCCCTGCATCTCAGGAGACAATGACTGGGAGTGGAGCCAGGGAAAGACGGCTGGCTATAAATGAGTCAAGGGGCAGGCCTCACCTGTAGCAGTCCTGCCGTGCCTTCAGCTCCTCTGCTCGGTGACGCAGAAGCAACGGGCTTTCTGCATCCTCAGAAGCCAGTTTCCCTGGAAAAGAAGAAGCAAGAAGAGCAGGATGCCTTTCTTTTCTTTTTTATTTAGTTTGCATGCAAAAGGCTCATCATAGTAGCCACCCACCCACCAGCCAATCTCCACCAGAGCTGGGAAAAAAGAGAGATTTAAAAAAATAAAAACAAACAGAGCCAGTTTGGTGTCGTGGTTAAGTGCGCGGACTCTAATCTGGGAGAACCGGGTTTGATTCCCCACTCCTCCACTTGCAGCTGCTGGATGACCTTGGGCAAGCCACAGTTCTGACGAGAGGTGTTCTTGAAAAAGAGCCGCTTCTGTCAGAGCTCTCTCAGCCCCACCTACCTCACACAGGGTGGGTGGTGTGGGGAGGGGAAGGGAAAGGAGATCGTAAGCCGCTCTGACTTTCCTTTAGGTAGTGAAGGGCGGGGAATACATCCCATCTCTTCTTCATGGTGAGAAGTAGGAGGAGGAGGAGACTGGATTTATACCCCGTCCTTCACTCAGAGTCTCAGAGCGGCTTACAAACTCCTTTCCCTTCCCCTCCCCACAACAGACACCCTGTGAGGGAGGTGGGGCTGAGAGAGCTCTTTCGAGGACTGCCCTTGAGAGAGCAGCTCTGAGAGAACTGTGACTTGCTCAAAGTCACCCGGCAGCTGCATGTGGCGGAGGAGTGGGGTATCACACCCGGTTCTCTCCAGATAGGAGTCTGCCCGCTCTTAACCACCACACACCGCGCAGGGCTGCCGCCGGCCTCTCACCCGTGCCTTCCCTCAGCTCCAGGGTCCGGTGCCCCTCGATCCACTGGTAGCAGGGGAAGCGGTAAGTCTCTCCTTGTGGGGTGGTCAGCTGGACGAAGCTGCAGTACCAGCTGTCCTCGGGGAAGAAGAGGTAGGGCTCCTTGTGGAGACGGATCAGCAGAAGCGGGCCCAGGTCCCGGTCGGTGGGCACCTCGTACTCGTCCAGCTAGGGAGAGGAAAGACACACGACCCTCGATGCAGTGGGCGGCAGCGCCTGGTCCCTTTCCCTCTGGGCATGGCGAGGGGCATCATGTGCCCGAACCTAGAAGAAATCCTTCCGTGCTTCAAAGCAACACATCACGACAGCTCTCCCTGACTTGAATGTCACACGCACCACTCGGGAGAAGGCAAGAGACGAAGACCCTCCCCCACCGGAGCCTTCTCTGGAAGCTGCCCCGTGATGGCACAGCTGGGCAATCGGGCAGCCTTCCAGCTCAGGGGTCACCAGCATGGCGCCTGTGGGCAGTGTTCCCTCTAAGCTGAGTTAATGTGAGCTAGCTCACAGTTTTATAGCCTCTGGCTCACACATTTTTGGCTTTGCTCAGGAAGGATGGGGCTCCAGAGCGAACTCATTTATGCAGCAGCCAAATCGCTCGCTCACAACTTTAAGGCCAGTAGCTCACAAAGTAGAATTTTTGCTCACAAGACTCCACAGCTTAGAGGGAACATTGTCAGGTGCCCACCCACCTGGGTGCCCACCCACCCCTTTCATGGTGCCCCCCTTGTGTTTTGAGGAAGTGGGTGGGGCCAGATGGGGCTCCTGCCCAGCAGGGCTTCTGATTGGCCACTGAAGATCTGATTGGAGGAGGAGGAGAAGAAAGAAGAAGAAAGAAGAAGAAGAAGAGGAGGAGGAGAAGGAGGAGGAGGGAGATTGGATTTATACTCCGCCCTTCACTACCCAGAGGTGTCTCAGAGCGGCTTACAATCTCCTTTCCCTTCCCCTCCCCACAACAGATGCCCTGTGGAGTAGGTGGGGCTGAGAGAGCTCTTTTGAGGACTGCCCTTGAGAGAACAGCTCTGAGAGAACTATGGTTTGCCCAAGGTCATCCAGCAGGTGCAAGTGGAGGAGTGGGGAATCAAACCTGGTTCTCCCAGATTAGAGTCCGTGCACATAAC